TTTTCCTCCCTGTGACTCACTATACCACTGAGACTGTCTTTGTTCTGCTCTGACGAGCACCTCGGCCAGCCCTGACCCCTCGGCTGGCCGGGCCTCTCAGGCCTCCACTCCTTCCACAAATATCAACGGGGTGCTTACTGGGTGCCGGGCACTATTTGAGGCGCTGGGGATGCGGCGAAGAACGAGCCAGACAAAAATCCCTGCCCTCAGGGAACTTAAATTCTGCTGCAGGGAGACAAGCAATCAACAAAGAAATCAGAAAAATATAAGAGTGTGTCAGAGAAAAGTAGGGATCCGAAGGGGTACGTGCACCCCGATGTTTATAGCAGCAATGTCCACAATAGCCAAACTGTGGAAAGAGCCAAGATGTCCATCGACAGATGAATGGATAAAGAAGATGTGGTATATATATACAATGGAATATTATGCAGCCATCAAAAGGAATGAGATCTTGCCATTTGCAACGATGTGGATGGAACTGGAGGGTATTATGTTGAGTGAAATAAGTCAAACAGAGAAAGACATGTATCATATGATCTCACTGATATGAGGAATTCTTAATTGCAGGAAACAAACAGGGTTGCTGGAGTGGGGGGTGGGGTGGGAGGGATGGGGTGACTGGGTGATAGACACTGGGGAAGGTATGTGCTCTGGTAAGCGCTGTGAATTGTGCAAGACTGTTGAATCTCAGATCTGTACCTCTGAAACAAATAATGCAATATATGTTAAGAAAAAAAAAAGAAGAAGAAGAAGGTAGCGGGAGGGGAAGAATGAAGCGGGGGAAATCGGAGGGGTGGACGAACCATGAGAGACGATGGACTCTGAAAAACAAACTGAGGGTTCTAGAGGGGAGGGGGATGGGAGGATGGGTTAGCCTGGTGGTGGGTATTGAGGAGGGCACATTCTGCATGGAGCACTGGGTGTTATGCACAAACAATGAATCATGGAACACTTCATCTAAAACTAATGATGTAATGTATGGGGATTAACATAAGAATAAAAAAAAAGAGTGTGTCAGAGGATGAGAAGTGCTATGGTGAGAAATAAAGCAGGGAAGAGGAGTAGGGAGTTGTGTGTGTGTGCGCGCGCACGTGTGGGTGTGCGCGCGTGCACGTGTGGGCGTGTGTGCGTGCACAGTCACACAGGATCGTAAACAAAGTGAAGACTTGAAGGCGGGGACACAGAGAGCTGTGAGTGGATCCGAGGGGACAGACGGAGGCAGCTGCAGGTGCAGAGGTGCTGGCCCGGGCGTGAGCCTGTCATGGTCAGGGGTGGCAAGAAGGCCGCAGAGTCGGGGAGGGGGCATGGGAGGAGGTGAGGTCAGCAGGGGCCTGGGGAGCGATCTCTGACGGCCAAGTGGAGGAATGATCTGACCTCATTCACCCTTAACAGGATCACTCTAACTGCTTGTGGGGGCCCCACCAGTGGGAGCAATTTGGGACATGGACCAGGGAGTCCTCACGTAGGTAGAGACAAGTGGTCAGATTCTGGCTAGAAGGTGGAGCCAACAGAATTTGCTGCGGGGCCAGATGTGGGGCGTGAAGAGAGTGGAGGAGTGGAGGATGTCAGCAGGGCGTTTGGCCTGAGTGACTGGAAGGAGGAGTTGCCATTGACAGAGATGGGCAAGTTGTGGGAGAAGCAGGGGTTCAGGGAGAAAGCAGGCACTCGGTTTTGTACATAATAGGTTTGGGGTGCCTCGTAGATTTCCAAATGGGGATACTGAGTAGGCAACTGGAAATTCTAGTCTGGAAGTCTGGGCTGGAGATCAGTTTTAGGGCCATCCGCATTAAAGATGGTATTCAAAGTCTTGAGACAGTCTGAGATCCTGTAAGGAGTGAGGGTAGAGAGAGAAGAACTGATGGCCCCATGGCACTCAGGGTGAGCATGGAGGCTGGAGGAAAACAGGACAGCTGGTGGCCAAGATGCCCAGGGAAGAAGATGCTTCTGGGTGGAGGAATGAGCAACTATATCAAAGAAGCTGAGTCTGGCAAGGCGAGGGCTGGGAGATGACCTCTGGATTTAGCAACATGGAACCCGTTGCTGACCCTGGTGAGAGCATTAAGAGGGTTCAGAGAATTGGAGAAGGATTGGGAGGAGAGAAAGCAGGAGACAAATTGGAAATACAGGTACCCCCTCTTGTCGAAAATTCAAGTTACACCATTTCATTTTTACAAAAGACCTGCAGTAGTACCTGATTTCACTAACCAAAAGAAATCCAAAGAGGATTTTCACTTTTATAAAAAAGAAGTATCGACCACAGCATCCAGGATTTGCTTTGCAGTGAGCGGTTACTGAGGCAGCATGCACCCTGAGCAACGAGCGGCGCCCCCAAGCTCCTTGCCTCGGAACCACACCCAGCATCTCGGCATCAAGCGGCCGCAGCTTGGAGCCCTGTCCTGTGTTTTATCTCTATTTATTTTGTGCCAAAGGTCAGCAAGATGTGTCCTAAGGTGGCAGAAAAACCTAAGAGGGGTTATTTTTGGAGTCTGGGACACTCAAAATCTCTTCCATATAAATGAATGGTCATTGCTTGTTCAGTTTACACCGTTCTAGTTTACGAAAGGTTTCATAGGAATGCTCTACTTCCAAGGGGGAAGCCTCTAGTCAGAGTAGATTCCCTTATTAGAGCTTCTTGCTCTAAATGGGGGTGTTAGAAGGGGATGTGGGTCAAGAGTGGGCTGTGTGTGTGTTTCCAGACGGGAGAAATTATAGCCTGTTTCCACGCTGATGGGAATAATCCAGGAGAGAGGGCAGTGCTGGTGGGGGTGGGGAGCAGGGAGGTTGTTGCAGAGAGCTCCCCAGCTTCCCCCCAACTCCGAGCTAATAAGAGTTGTCTTCTTTGAGGGGGACCACAGGGGCGCTGGAAATGACACCAGGCTGGGCACAGGACACCTGGGTCCTGTCCTAAATCTGTCCCTTACCGGCAATGGGACTCTGTGCCAGCCCGAAACACCCAGGGCTTCAGATGTGGAAAGCAGGTCTTATAACATCAGCCACTTCCTCCCTCCCTGGGTTGTGGTGGAGAGCCAACGAAGTAACAGGTGTGAAAGTGTTTTGTAAAATGTAAAGGGTGGAACAGATGACTGGGATTATTTTTATTATTCTAATATCACAGGGGATTATTCAACAAATTTTAGAGATTACTGTTCATCCAGCCCTCTTTGTATGTACAGCCTTCCCGCTACGCTGACATACTAGCTGTGACCTGATCCACATGAAGCCAAGTAACCTCCCCAACCCCCCACTGATGCTCATCTGCCTCCCACTCTGCCCTGCATATTGACCCCTCTTCTTCCATTTGTCCCTGGCAAAAGCTGCCCTCCGAAGCCTCCCAGGCTCGCTCCCCCCCACCCCCCCACCCCCCGGTGACCCTGCCTCTTTCTTTCCTCCTGGCCCTATTCCCCATCCATCCTCGTCACTGAAATTTGTTTTAAGTAGGTACTGCCTGCAGGAGAGAGCTTTGGAGCAGGAGCCAAGAGAAGTTAGTGCAGTGTGGTGACCAACCTTCCCGATTTGCCCAGGATTTAGGGGTTCCCTCAAGAAGTGGGACTTTCAGTGCTCAAACCGGGAAAGTTCCAGGTAAACTGAGATAAACTGGTCAACCTAGTCTTGACCAAGGCCACGGTTAGTTGATATGCCCTCATCTTGCCAGTCATTCAACTTCTTTGTGGTCCAGTTTTCTCATCTATAAAAGGAAGGGTTTGGAGTTTCACTAGATTCCTTTTCAGTCCCTTCCAGCCTCAGGTTTCAAGGCTGAAGGTCATTTCCTCATTCCACAAATATTATTTCCTGAACGCCACTGTATGCCGTGCACTGTGCCCCTCCTGTTGACCGTGGCATCCTGGGCACAGAGCACAGCACCTCACACATAGTAGCTGCTCAATAAACACCTGAGGAGATGAGTGAATGAATCTACCACACCCTGACCACACCCCTCAAAACATCTGCTCCTAGTTCTGACCCTCCATTTTTTCCAGTCTGTCACCCACAAGCCTGTGGAACCTGTGAATAAGCCTAGAACTCTGGCCAGACTGAGCTGAGCTGAGCATTCCAATGAGGCAGGGCCGGAGGGCCGGGTAGCTGCTCGTGCTGGCAGTGAATGTTGACCTTGGGTGCTCCCTGAGAAGATGTTACCAAGATGAGCTTGCCCACCTCGGGGGTGGGGGTCCTGGAACACCGTCACATTCAGGTGCACGGAGCCCACCTGAGCAAAGGACCTGTGGTCCAGGCAGTTGTCTGCCCCTGGCTACCTCCTGTCTCTTGGGCCTCTGCTTCCAACCACCCCATGCCCCTCCCCATGTGGCCTCAGACCCAGAGTGGGGCTCTGGAACCAGACCATCTGGGTTCCCAGTGGGGCCCTCCACCTCCTAGGATGCTGTGTGAACTTGGCCAAGTCATTTGGTCTCTGAGCTTCAGGTTCCTCATCTGAATCTGATAACAATAGATCCTATTTTATAGAGTTTTGGTGAGGACGAAATGCACATGAAGGGCTTGCTGGTGGGGGGAAGTGCTCAATAAATATTAGCTATTACTGTTATCATCGTCATCCTCATTGTCATCAACACTCTCAGTCCAGTGAGAACAACCAAGAGCGAGCTTGAACTAAGTGCATCTCTCACACTTGGAATCTCCCTGACTCCAAGAAGCCTTCCCACATTACCCCTAGGACGCAATGACTTAGTCCCCGTGGCCAGGGCACCCTCAGTCTCCCACCCCCACAAGCAGCACTGCCTCCCCAGGACCCAGGGGTGCCTCTTCTCAGCTCTGGCTAAAGCTCTAATCCTATTGTTACAACCTCCCTCCTTCCCTTCCCTGCAGCTAAGCTGCGTGTTCTGGAGACCAGAGAGAGTTCCCTGAATGCGGCATTGAGCCCTGACCCGCCCCCAGGAGCTTCACAAGGTGTCAGGAAGGAGGACTGCGAGGAAGACAGGGACAGAGGAGGGACCTGGGGAGGTGATCAGAGGCTGAGAAGGCGGGGCCCCCCAGGGAGCCACACTCACCAACGTAAACACGCCCGCTCCCAGCACGGCATACACTGCATGGAGCCAGGGCACCTGCGGAGCAGACATGGAAAGGGTTTAGGGTGGTGGGGGTGAGGGGCAGGGAGGAGGGCTTAGTCCAGAAAGCAGAGGACATAGCACAGATCTCTGTAGTGGATTCCATCTCTCACAGCACCCCCCAACCCTCCCCAGCAGTCCCTAAGAAGCCCCAGAACAGAGAGGGGTCCTTGATTCTCTGTGGGCTCAGGGTGTGTCTGGGGAACCCCAGGATAGCAGTGATCATGGAGGGACTGGCAGGGCCATTCCCAGGTGACTGGTACTTTTTCCCTGCACACACAGCCCCAGACTCAGGCTGGATGAGGGAGACTCATCCTGTGGGACCCCTGTCATCCTCCCAGCCTGAGCCTGGCCTCAGGTTGCGACCTCCCCCCCTGCCCAGTGCGAACTCATCCCTGTCCTGTGTGGGGTCTGTCTGTTCCTCTGTAGGGGAACTCCCGAGCTTTGTCTGAAGGGGTAAGGGGCTCAAGGATGTGTGTCGGGGGGAGAGTCCTCTGGAGTTCCTACCAGGTGTGCATGATGGGACTGCTTGCAGAGACTGGAACAGCGCCCCTGCCCAACCTTGGCTCCCCCTAGGTCTCAGGGGCACCCAGGTGTGGAAACTCTGCAAGTTTCAAGTCATGCCCCCCTCCATAGGGCCTTCCCCCAGAAGAGTCCTGGAAACACAAGCATCCCATTAGCCTGCCCTGAGTCAATAAAGGGTTCTTTGAAGCTCTGAGGTCCCTTCCTGTAACCGTACCCCCATCCTAGATACACAGAGGGCCCCCAGACCAGCTCCGGTCCCTCCCTTTGTCAACAGGATCCTGGGAAGTGCCAAGGAAATGCTAGAATCAATCCTGATGTCCTGGACTTGGAGCCAATACCCTGGGGGCCGGAGCTGGGCAGGATGGGGTGGGGGAAGGGGAGAGTGAGGCATGCTGCTCCTAGCCTAGCAGAAAAGGGGCAGCGGGGGGATCATGCACCAAAAGTGGCTAAGAGGAGCCTTGGGTGGGGGCTGGGGGGTGGAAGAACTGAGCCCTCTAGCAGGGGTCTAATAGCCTCATCCCTGGGGTTCCCAGGATTAAATCTCAGTCCCCTCCGGTGATGCCCTCGATCTGCCCCCTTCTCCATCCGCAGCAGCCTGCTTCAGTCACCACTGAGCCCTCTGCAGTCCTGGTTGGATTTCCCAGGGCCAACCGGCGGCTGAGGCCCCACTGATACTCTAATGGGGTGGGGGTATGCTCAGAGCCCCACTGCCCCACCTCCTGCCTGCCTGGCCAGCCAGATTCTGTCTCTCTGGACTTCACTGATCCCACAAGAGCTCCGGGGGGCCCTTGCTCAGGGCCCTTCTGGGCCTCGTGGCCCTCTGGCGTTCCTGTGCTCCCTTCTCTGCCCCGGGTTTAAATGTGTTGTGCTCCCCCCCTCAGCCTCACCTCCCCCCTAGAGGGGAGGATGAGAAAGGTGAAGCGGATGTGGCTCATGGTGCAAGCAGGTGCCCAGGCCTGCCAAGAAAAGCCTCCTTGTTGGTTTGCTTATCCTGCCAACAAGCCCAGGGCAGGTGCCAGGAGGCCTGGACAGGATGTCAGGCTGTAGGCCTTTGGCTCTGGGCCTCCCCTGGAGGGCGGGGGAGGAAACAGCACCCTCGGGCAAGGTGGGCTCTCCGTCCCTCCCCAGGGCCCCACTGGGAGACCCGGGGGACTCACATATTGGAAGGGCAGGAGGATGGCCAGGATGAGTCCACTGAAGAAAAGAGTCATGAGCAGCACGAAGATCACACCCTGGCAGGAGGTGAAGTCAAACTGCAGGGATGGGACAGGCGTCAGCTGTTAGGCCTGCCCAAGAGGGCTGCACATTCCCAGGGGGCCCCAGCTGGGCAGTGTGCTGGTGTGCTGGTCAGAGGGCGGAGGCCTACACGGCAGCCTCACGCTCCCCCCAGAAGCCGGCATTCCTCCTCCAGGGGGCCTCCGCATATCCTACTCACCCCTTTCACTTCTCCCTAGCCAGGGACCCAAGCCTGGAGCCCCCCATCCCACAGGCCTTGCCCTGCCCACCAGCCCCAGAGCTGACCTTAGTCTGGAAGCTGAAGACGGTGACGGAGAGGCAGACAAGAGCCGTGATGCCCAGGCACAAAAGGACGGACGTGGTGTTGTAGTAGCTGCAGGACGCGGGGCCAGGGGCTCAGCTTCAGGCAGGCCTTCCGGTCTCCCTGGCCCTCCCCTTCTGCCAGCACCTGACCCCTTGACTTCAGCTCCCCACCGTCCCCCCCTTCCCACGGTCCTCCCTCTCCTTGCCTTCCCAGCCTCTTCCCTGGGCCCTGCCCTCCCCAGCAGGCTTAGACTCAGACTCCTGTTAGAAGGATCTTGAAGAGGTGGGAGTAGAGGGGGGGGGGGGGGCTTTGTGCTGCTGCCGGGAGGTGGTTCACGGGGAATGGGGTGATCAGCCAGTCTGGGGTCCTTCGGGCTGCAGCTCGAGAGAGGTCACCTTGCTCCCCTCCGTTCCCCACCTCCACCCCGCTGACCTGGCCAGGCCCCGCTGTCACTGTGGAGCGGAGTGTGCGAGAAGAGGGCTCCAGGCCAATGTCTCCTGCCTGCCTGAACCCCCTCTCATCTGAATGCTCTCTGAAGGGATGTGTTTGGGAGCAGCTCCCCTCAGAGTGTGGCCCGTCCCCCTCCACCTGTCCCCTTTACCTGGACAACATCCCAGTGAGGTAGGCCATGGACAGGGTCTGGAAGGAGAAGCAGGATGAGGGAATGCTCCAGAACTCAGCCTCTGGGGGCCCAGACACCTTCAAGGCCCAGCCTGGGTCTCCACCCATGGTGCACAGCCCTCAGCTCTGCATCTGCCTCGCCCCCACACACATTCACTTCCACAACTCAGGCCTGGTGAGGAGCGTCCTGACAGGCCTGCCTACCTGTCCCCTTCTTTCTTTTGCAGTCCTGCTTCCACCTCCCCACCCCCCAACTCTCTACAACCCACTCTTCATTATCCAGAGCTCTAGGATGCCTCATTCAAACCTCTTAAAAACAACATCACAAAGAAAAGAGACAGTGGATGGAGTCGGGGAGAGACTAAGACCATTTGGAAAGAGAGGATGAGACGTCTGTAGCAGAAGTGGGGTGAAAATACCCCTGCCCCAACCAGTGACCTCACATTGGACATCCCCAACCCAGACTTCTGGGCCCTCGAAGCCCAGCCTCCTTCCCCCCCCACCACCTCCACTCAGCATCTGTCCCCAGCTACCCCTTGGTCACTTACGAAGATGGTCAGGAGAATCAGGTTCCAGGGGAAATGCCTCCTGCAAGACAAGCCACAGAGTTCAGAGGAGAATGGGGGGGACTGAAAGCCACAGCCGGGTCACTGCCGCAGCGAGGAGGTCTTGGCCTCACCCCAACCCCACTCCTCAGAGCCCCTTCCTTCAGGCACATCCCCAGGTACCCCCATCAGTGGATCCACGCCGTGCTGTTGCTACCTCAGGGGCCCCAAGTAAAGGAGGGAGGGGCAGGCTTGATGGAGCCCAGAAGATAGAGACCTCTCAGAGATGCACAGAATACTGGGGGAGGGCAAGACCGAGGCCAGAACTTTCCAGATCCTGCTCATGTTCCCACAAGTTGCTCCTCGAGCCGTCACATACCTAGGTCCAGAACAGCAGGCCAGGGTCAGATAGGTCGCAAAGAATACAGCGCTGTGAGAGACAGATGGATGGGCCAGTCAGCCCGTGCCCCCTGAGGCCCCTTCACCCAGTCCCCTGCTCCTTCTCCTCTCTGCCACCCCTGCCCACAGGTGCCAGGCAGTAGGATCAGGTTGGGGGAAGGGTGTTTAAGACGGCAGTCATCCTAGAACCTGGCAATTGGCAGGTTGGTGGTCCAATCCCCAAAAGACAGGAATGGGCATTGGACGAGCTTCTGGAAATACTGAGTCTGGGGTGCCACGGGGCAGCTGACCACCCGATCCAAAGTAGCCTCCCCAGACACTCTCAATACTTCACACAGAAAGTTTGTCTACGGTGTTTTCTATGTGCCAGGCAGAGTGCTAAATGCTTTATGACTACGAATGGATGCAATCCTCCACCTTCTTGCTCCAGAGTCCTGGCTTGTGACCAGTGGCCCATACTGCCTCAGTCCCCTCCCGCCCTTCTCACTACTTGTAATCACCTTGTCACTTTATTGTTAGTCTACCCTACTAGACTGCGAATGAATCAAGGGAAGGGCCCTCATCTGTCCTGCCAGGACCTGGCACAAGCAGGAAGTGCCTGTGGCATGAATTTCTGGATCAGGTGGCCATGTCCAGCAGACGACTGGCCGGGAGCTCAAGTGCCACATAGTGACAGGCGCCGAGGATTGAGGATTTTCTAGAGAGCAGTGGAGGTGAAGGCCAGGCTAGGAGGTGGAAGATGAGGAGCTGAGGACCCCAGGGGCATGTTCATGCCTACCTAGATTGGTGCCACCACCAACGAATGGTCTCCAGTCCCCAGTGGGCTCTCAACATGGCACCTGCCATCCTTGCCCTTCTCCCTCTTCGGTTCCTCACCTATCCCCCACAGCAGCAATTCCAACCATCCTCCTCCACCCACAGACCTCCCAGGCTGCCTCACTCCTGCATGGTCTGGCCTGATGCATCCCAGAAAGATCTGAGATGAGGTGGGGCTCCCTTGGCTCCCTGGCTGCCACCTGCAAACATCGTATCATGCATCTATGTGCCCTTTTTCCTGTCCTTCCATCCCAGACCAACCCAACCATCCCAGGCTCAACTGCCCCACCATCTCTATCTCTAATACCTCATCCTTTCTACTGGCGCCTCTCCTTCCACAAAACCCTCCTCAGCTCTTTTCTATCTTCGGCCTACGTCTTCCCCAGTTCCAGCTACTGCCACTTTATCCACCCTCACAGATTAGCTTGAAACAGTCGTCCCCACTTCACTATCTCCTTCTTCATCTCCAAATTACTCCCCAACCCTGCAAACCCAAATCCAGCCCCACTTAATGAGAGCCGGCTTTGCCACATCCCTGTGACCTTGTTGAATCCAAGTGACACTTGTCAGTCCCTGTCTTACCTGACTTTTCAACATCTGATCACTCCCACTGTTCCCCTGGTTCCACAATGACAAACTCTTGGGCCCCCTCCTACCTCCCTGGCCACTCTTTCCCAGTCTCCCTCAGGATATCTTAATATTCCCTGTTCCTTTGGTACAGAGTCCCACCCGGCTGTCTCCCCTCATGCTCTCCCTGGGGGCTCGCTCTTCCACAGGACTCCCTTTAGCAGGCAAATGCTCACGGCTCCCACACCCTTGTTTCTCATCTAGATGCTCCTTCTCAATCCCAGACCTGCATAGGCAACTGCCAACTCGGCAGACATAGCCATTCAGAAACATGCCAAACCCAACAGGTCAGGAGTGAACTTGCCCTCCTCCCTGCCCCTGCTCCTGCGTCTCCTATTGTCAAGGACGTCATGCACATTCAGGTGGCCCAACCAGAGAACTCAGCATCCTTGACTCTCACCTGGCCTCGCCCAATTAATCACAGGGACCTGCCGATCCTCTTACCCAGGCAGCGCACAGATCTGTCACCTTCTCTCCATGCCCAATTCCACCCTTTTAGGTGGGGCCACCTCTCCCTATCTGGTCCTGCTGCCTCCAGCCCTACCTTTCACCCTCCAAGCAACAGACAGATCTGACCATGGGACTCCCTTGTTTAAAATTCCCAAAGACCTGGCAAGGCCCTGCTTGATCTGCCCCACCTACCTCCCCCTGTCTTCTGCACCCTCATAACATGCCCGCCACACTGTGCTTCTGCTGGAAAGGACTGACTGGCAGCGACGCCCGAGGCCTGGGTTAGAGGGGCTCCCTCCATGCACCATGGGCATTCCTCAACTGAGGCCCGCACTCACACACCCAACGGGCCTGTTCATCTGAACCCTCACCCAGATGTAGCATCTGGCATGAGCTACTCATTTTGCATTCCTACAATTACCCCGGGGCCTGGCAATGGTTAGGTGACCTTTAAATACTTCTGGATGAAATGCAAAAGCATAAGGGATGTAGGGACGGAGAAAAGCCGATTGGATTTGGCAAATAGGACCCCTCCATCTTCACCTTCTCCTATACTTCGGAGGCTCTCAAGTGATGTGGGACAGTTGTCACAGTGATTAAGGGGCTCTTAGTGCCAGGGACCAGTGAGGGACAGTAGAATTGTCCTGCCCCAGTTGAGAAACACTCCAGGATCTGCTCTCTTCTGGTCTCAACTTGAGTCATTGGTCGGTCACGTCGGCAATATTGATAATAATAATACCTTTGTCTATGTGCATCCTGGGTGTGAGTCCTGTCTCCCTACCGGACTGGGAGCTTCCAAAGGGCAAGGGCCCAGTCTCCTTTCCTCCCTGGCCCTCAGCTCCTCAGCCCTCAAGACCAGGGGTCAGAGGAAGGGCAGAGGGACACCACCCAAGGGTTATGATGCCGCTTTGGAGCCTGACTCCCCTATTCTTAGCCCAGCTTTGCCACTTTGATTATGTGACCTTGAACAAGCTACTTAATTGCGGAGCCCCCTCACTTCCTCCTTTGTAACACAGCAGTACTGATACCAATTCACGGGGCTGTAGCTGGATTGGCCGAGAGCACGCACTCCAGCGCTTAGCACAGGGCCTGGCACAGGGTACGGACTTGAGAATGGGAGTTGTTATTACAATTAGACTGACAGCCTCCTGGGGAGGCTCTGACCCACCTCTCCCAGCTCTGGTCTCACCGTTTCCTCCTCTGCCTGGCCCCCCCACCCCCGCCCCCCAACAGCCCCAACTCCTTCCCGCCGCCAGGGCTCAGAGGGAGCAATCAGACAATATGGCAAGAGCCCGCTAAGGGAGATGACTGGGGCCTCGAGAAGGTGGTGAGTGGAGGGGGGTGCTGGAAGGCCGCCATCCCAGGGGGCAGAGAATGAGTCACAGAAGTGAAAGAAAGACTAACTTGCATGTCAGAGCCTGGGCCCCAGGCTGTTTATAGAGTTCCAGAACAGGGGAGTGAGACTCAGGTGGAGGCCAGCATCCAAACCCAGTGCCCTCCCTCAGCGTGTCCCGCTCTAGGGCCGATCCTGGGCCAGCCGAGCACTTAGGGGAAGGGCACAAGACTCCACTGCTTAAGAAGCAGTAACTGCTCTCCGAACCCCACATCCTCATCTGTAGAATGGGGATAATCATAGTATCTGCCTGGTAGGTTTGTTTTCAGGATCAAATGATAAATACCTGGAAAGCACTTAGCATGGCGCCTCACACATAGGGAAAGAGTGGTTTTATTCTTATCGCTACTAAGGGCTTGGTGTGTGGTAGGAGGTGAGACCCACTAGGTCTCAGACCCAGAAGCAGATTCAGGGGGCAAAGTTGAGGGGCAGGGAGGGGGTAGGGCAGGGCAGAGCCACAGGCTGGCTTTCTGGAGAAAAGGGCAGCATCTTGGTGTTGGAATTCGCAAGCACCTCCAAGGCTTTGTGACACCCCATAAAAAGCACAGGGTCCATCCCCACTCCCAACTTCTCTCCACCACCCCCCCACCAAGCCGGGGGGAACATCTCTCCTTTCTGTCTAGAGATGTTGAGGAGGAGGGCCGTTCAACCTCACCATCCACAGGCCAGATTCTCATGCCTGCCCTCAGTGGGGTGGACTCTGCCCCCACTTGCGAGCCTGCTCATTCCCCGGCTGTGCCCCGGCCGGGGTGCTCCATCTGCTCAGGACGTGGAGTCCCACCGACCCTCCTGTGGAAGGCCTGGTGAAGGGCCTGGGGACTCCATTCCCGAGTCCTCAGGGCACCTGAGTCTGCCGGGCGGTGCTGACGTGCTGGGAGCCATGCCAACCTGCCATGTGGGCTGGCCTGGTGGCCAGTCCCTGGGGTCTCATGAGCTTACCACACAGTGCCTCCCTGTCGCGTCTGCAGACAGGCCCTGGGTCCTATGCCCTAAGAAAGTCTCCAGGTGTGAATGTCTCCTCCCCTGGGACTCCCAACTTGACTGAGCCACCCGTCCACTCCTCTGCTCCTCCAAGGAGCCGCAGAGGCTAGGATGAGCCTCCTTGCTGTCAGCTTATGGTTGGCCTGTGTTAATTCAAGGCCCACTCTCAGACTGTTCTGGACTTGGGGTGGTGCAGGAGGCCGAGCGAACATCTCCACCATTTCTCCGCCCAAGAGCAGGCCTAGCACAGCTGTAGTGGGCCAGCGCCTCGCCAGACGTTCAGTTTCCACTCCGTAAGGCTCCACGGCTCTCTCAGGGGTCTCAGATTCCCTAACAGGGAGCCTTCCGGTCCTCCGCCAATCTTGTCCCTTATTTACCAAATGGACCATGGGCAGTCCCACTCCTGTGCTTTTGTTTGAGCCACTCCAGTCCCCGAAGTGGACTGAGGGCTTGGGTATCTCGGGCTCACTCCCATGCTGCTTTGTGCTGCTCACTACCTTCCCCTGCAGAGGCTTCCTCCCCAGCAACCCCAGTGGCCACTATAGGGCTGGGCTCACAGGCGGTGCGGAAGGAGACTTAGGTGAGAGCAGTTCTGCTCTGAGCCCAGGGTAGTTCTGGCCTAGAATTATCCAGAATGACCCCAAATTGCCCAGATAAGAGGGCCAAGAATCACCCACACCATCAAAGCTCTTCTCTTAAGTTATCCGCCATGCTCCTTAAAAAGCATAGGACAAGCAGGAGCCAAATGGCTTGAGAAGAAGGGAATCTGCCAAGCAGAGTGATGAGGAGCACAAACCTCAACCTGAATCCTGGATTTGAATCCCAGCTCCACCACTAACTAGCTCTGTGACCTTGGGCAAATTACTCAAACTCTCTGAACCTTAAGTTTTCTGAGGTAATCCTACCCAGTTGACTCGAGGATCGAATGTAATACCATACGTCCAGCACACAGAACAGGCCCAGCCCTTGTTAGGCACTCTTTAAGTGGTAGCTATTATGATGAATAATTCATAGGCATTAATAACAAAACATTAATAAGAGTCACAACATCATCATTAGTGTGGGCCAAGGTGTTCCAGCCCCGCTTCCCCTCGGGGCCAAGGTCTGGGTCTCACCAGCCAGGGCCCCAGCCCCACCCTCCCCTCTTTGTGCAAGCACCAGAACGTATGCCTGTCTTCTTCCCCCCGTCTCAGATCTAAACATCAGAAGGGCCCTCCAGGCCCTTCTCTTGTGAGGAGGTGGAGAGGGGCCATGGGCTTGGATTCTGTCAGGGGAGATTTCCCACCTTGTGCCACTGAGCGTTCTCTGGCAAGGGGCCTGGAGGCCTGGGGAATACTCACTAGGATGCCCAGTACCATCCTGGGTTGGCCTGAACATAGTCCTTAACGGGGTCACTGCAGAGAAAGGAGGGGGGAGAATCAGAATGTGTCCTCTGTCTCCATCTCCACATCTGCCCCCCCACGGCTCACAGGACTTGTGAGGAAGAAAGGGGGAAGGCACCCCTGGTGGCACAGGGGCCCCAGCCACAGTCCCAGGCTGGGATGGGGAGGCGCGGGGCTGTGGGCTGGAAGATCCGAGAGGATGTGTGCTTCGCAGACACCTGCTGGCCCAGAAGGCACCAAGTCACCCTCCCAGGGAACGGAGGACTCCTCCGTGGGCACTGGCTGAAGTTCCTCCCCAGCACGAGGGTATCCACTGCCCCCACACAAATCTCTTCAGGCAAACATTCCAAGAGCAGTCTGGCCTCGCCATGGCTGCCCTGGAAGACCCAGACCTTGTGCCCGGTCCACACTGCCAACTCACCAGAAGGTAAAAAGAGCCACGACACCCAAGGTCACCAGCAGCTGGATCAGCAGGATTGTATAGACCTAGGGGTCGGAGGGAGTTCTGCTCAGTTTGGGGAGCCCCATTTGTGGCCAGGGATACTTGGTCCCCCAGTGAAGCTCAGGGAGATCCCAGCTTCCCAGTGACTTAATCTCCTCTCCAGACCTGCATCCTGTACCCTCCACTCTCCTTCTTAGGGGTCACTAGAACAGACCCAGGACAAGGTGAAAGAAGAGCAAAGATGCTCCAGAGCCCACTCCCACAGGACAAGGGATCCCAAGTATCTGGAGAGAGGGTGAGACAATGAGTTTAAGCATAGCAGGGGGCAGTGGAGTGAAACCTAAGGACACACTTCCCAGCAGGTGTTGTCATCTGCGGTCACAGGAGAAGGGGAGAGGGATGGCCTCTGCAGGAATCTGCAGACAGAGGGATGGGCCAGGGTCTTCTCAAGGGACTCCCCCTACCTAACCCCTCCCCCCATCCTGGAGAGTTGGAGGAGGTGGTTACCTTTCTGATGAAGACTCGGCGAACTTTCTGGTCGTCCCAACTGAAGGTGGTGAAGAGCTCATGGTCTCCAGCCGGGAAACCATTCTCATAACTGGAGCTGCCTGGATGGACATGGGGAGGGCCATGAGGGCTCCCATACATTTAAATCATTTAAATGCTGCTCCCAATGGCCACCTGCTCAGAGCTGACTTTTGTCAAAGTGGCTATCCGGACCGGGCAAGGCTTTCTCTCTAGCCCTGTTCTCAAATGTCTCACCCCAACCCCATCCCATCCCCAGATCTCTCTCCCCACCTGCTTCTCCTATCTGCGTCCTGAGAATAAACTGTCATCTCCCCTCCCCTTCCTGCATGCTGGTTGGGGCTCCCTGCGGCCAAGCCCTGCCAAACAAATATGACCCTTTCCTCTTATGTCCCCCACTCTCCTCCCTGAACATGCTGGCTCCCTTGTGGCTAAGAACCAGAGAGGGACAGCCACTCTCCCCGGGCCACCTAGCCCATCCCAGGATCAAAGGTCCTGCCCCAGCTTGCTCTGAGGCCCTTGGGGTGAGAACTGGGAACTAGTGTGGAGGAAGGACCTGCTGGTACTCCAGCTGGGAAGCAAGGCAGGGGGAAGGTTGGAGGATGAAGAAGAGCCAGGACAGGGCAAGGAGGAGGGTATGGCTGGGGGTGAAGTTTGGGGGCCTACTCCCAGAACTCAGGACCCAGCTATCAGGCCTTGGGAAGAACATAGGATCCACAGTCAAACAGACCCACATGTGGATAACTTCCTCTAAGACTAACTAGCTGTGTGACCTTGAGCAAGTCACCAGCCATCTCTGAGTCTTTTCTACGATATAGGTCAGTGATACTCACCTCATGGGGGCAAAACTAGATGAAAGTGGAAGCCTCCGGCTCTGTGCCTGCTGGGGACTGTGCTGCCCCGCCTTTACACCCCTCAGCTCAGCTGGGCCATTCCTGAGGCTTCTGCTCTGTTCTCGTCCACTGTCATTTCAATTCCCCTATTCTCTTCCTGCAATTTCTCCACGAGCTTACCCTCCAAAGCCTCCCCTGAGCCCTCAGCCCCAATGCACATTCCTCCCTCTTACTTTTCTCCAGCCTGACTATATTTTTTCAGCCATGTGCTTTCTTGCTTCTGGGCCTCTCTGCACATCATATTCTTTCAGCCTGAACACTCATTTCCCCGTCTCTTCACCAGTGGAACTCATGTCATCCTTCAGGACTCGATGTGGATACCCCTTTGTCCAGGCAGTCTTCCCTGACTGCCGGGTAGGTTAGGCAAGCTGCCTAGGCCCCTCTCATTGCATACTTGTCTATATAGCCAGGTCTGTGAGGGCAAGTGTTGCAAATCAATGCATCCCCAGAAATTTAGCTGAGTGCTGGACACAGTGCTTGGCCCACACTTAGAAATGTTTGTCACATGTTGACTAAAATGAGCTTCCTTCCTGCCCCGACAGTTCCCTGGAAAACATTACTTAAGGCAGCTAGTCTTGGCCACCTGGAAATGGAAAATGAGGAAGGGGGAGAGAGAAGGAACACACTGCAAACCTGAGGCCTGGATATTTAATATTTACCCTTTAATATTCCACTTCTCTTTCACGTTCTGTCTACAGCCCCTGCCAAAGCCTGAATGGCCAGGCCACAGAGTGGGAGAAGAGGAGAAAGAAAGCAGTCCTGTGGGTATGGGGCAGTAAGAAGGGTTCCCACAAACACCAGACCTTCATTGGCCCTCCAGTAGGTCACGGTGGGGTAGAGCTGCTTGGCTCTGGGCCCAGGGGGTTTGTGGTAAGGGATGTGGACCATGGTGGCTGCTCCTGGTGAGTAGAGGCTCTGTCTGAGGCATTGTTCTTGAGATTGCTTCTAGAATTCTGCTGGGGAGGGTGGGAGTTGATAAGATGGGGGGGGTTTGAGGGGCTGCTGAGGGAGGCCGCAGGGGCTGAGGAAGATTTGAAGGGGGCCCTTCCTTATAGATTGTGGGGAGCTGTATGTTCCTAGCCCTGAGGCAAAGCTCCCACAAGCTGCTCATCCTAACAGAGGGGCTCCCACTGGCTGCGATCCTTGCTCTGCAAGGAGCTGGCGTTCACCAGGGTGAGTCTGCCTATGATATGCCTGGCCGTGAGGGGCTTTGAGGCTAGCATCCACACACCTTCTCCACATCATATCCTCCTGTCCCCAACAAAGGCTTGGAGAAGGGATCCTCAGACCCCTGGCCCCAGCAGCCCTGGGGTCTTCATGGGGACATGTCTCCACTAAGGTTTCAGATCAGCCCACATGGAAACACACTGCACTCCCACTCACAGGGAGCCAGCCACAGCTTAATACTGCCCCTTCCTGTGTCCACTCTCCCCACCCTTTTTATGCACCCCTTTCTTTGAGGAGAGCCTTTCTAGAATGGCCCCCGGTTTCCCCCTCCCCCTCACCCCATCCCCTCTATTTGCCCTAGCTTGATGGCTTGAAAAAAATCCCCTCTTCCCCATCCAAGAGTACTGTGACTGTAGGCATTGTGTTTCTCCCTTTTCATGGAGTCCTCCTTGACCTACCCTTGGAATAGCCCTCCAAATCCAAAGCCTTTGACTACAGAGCCTCATATAACAACCACACAATGCATCTATTTATGGGCAACTTCCTCCTACCCGGGTTTTTCATCTGGGCCCACCACTCCCCTTAATGCTCCTGTCTCCAGGAGCTTAGGGACTTACTAGGGTCCACATAGGCCCAGCTGGGGTGGAGAGGCACAGCCGAAGGGGCTGGGGGGAAGGCCCCTGCCTTCAGTCCCTCCCCAGAGGTGGCCTCCTCATAGGAGGGCGGGGCTGAGGGCACTGCTGGAGTCTCCTTCTTCTCACCATGGGCCTGCTGCTGCCCCTCCGTCCCGGGGGCCTTGTTAGCCACGGAGATCTGTGGAGTAGAGGCAGAGAGAGACAGTCACCGGGGAAAGGGAGCCTTCCAAGTCCTCCTCGCCAGCCCCTAATTTCTGGGACTTTCTCACCTGCACTAGGAAGGGTGTGGGTACAGACAAGAATCTCCCTATTTTATGCGGCATATGAAATATTATTCAGCCTTAAGAAAGAAGGAAATCCTTCATTTGTAACAACATAGGTGAATCTGGAGGATGTTATGCTAAGTGAAATAAGTCAGACACAGAAGGACAAAAACTGCATGATATCACTTATATTGGGAATCAAAAGTAGCCAAACTCAAAGAAGCACGGAGGAGAATGGTGGTTGCCAAGGGCTGGGGGTGGGGGAAATGGGACGATGTTGGTCAAAGGGCACAAAGTTTCCATTGTGCAAGATGAATAAGTTTTGGAGATCTAATGTACAGCATGGTGATTATAGTTAACAATACTGAATTGTATACTTGAAATTTGCTAAGAGGGTGGATCTTAAGAGTTCTCATCACACACAAAGGTAACTATGTGAAGTGACGGATATGTTAACTAGCTTGATTGTGGTGATCATTTCACAATATATATGTATATCAAAACATCAGGTTTTGTACCTTAAATATGTATAATTTCTATTTGTCAATTATACCCCAATAAAGCTGGGGTGGGGGGAATGACTCTCCCTTTTTATATAGATGGTTGAACTGAGCTCCGGGAGGATCAGGGTTGGCCCAGGGCACACACTGAAGCTGGAATAAAAACTGAGGAAGGAGAAATTCTTAGGAGAGCCCACCATTGGCGGTCATCGTCCCTGGGGCAGAGAATGCATCTGTATGGTTCCACTGTCTCCCTGGGGTCCAGGGAAGGGCCTGGCACAGAGCAGGCCCTCAAGAATATTATTGAATGAAAGATTCTTTGACTTAATCTTCCTGCTACCTTGCTAGTTGTATTTTGACCCCTGTTTTAAAAGGAGGGAACTGAGGCTCAGAGGGGAAGAATGACTTGCCCAAGGTCACAGAGCCACACATAGACCATTGGGCTGCAGGGCCCAGGCGCCATCCACTGGGATTGGTCTCCTTCTGTTGGGCGGGAGATGACACTAGGCAAGTGGGGGTGGGTGAGCAGGGAAACAGAGAGGGGTGGAGGGGGGAGACACGAAGAAGAATGGGGACTGGAGGAAGGGCAAGAGGTCTTTGGTAAAGGGTCCTGTTTCGGCCTTGTGTGTTGGAACCTCAGCTTCTCTCCCAAACCAGAGCAGAATCACAGGCTGTCACTGCTAGAAGGGACCTCAGGAGGCATCTAGTTCTGCCCCTTCCTTCATTTTATGGGTTAGGAAACTGAGGCCCAGAGGGAAATGTACCATGGCAGGTTGAAAACTCAAGTCTATTTATACTCAGCTCTGCTCGCTGCCCCAGAGTGTCCAGTAAGCTTTGGTGAGAGGATTGGAGCTGGGGCTGGGGGGGGCCTGAATGCCGCCATAAGTCAGGGGAGACTGCGGGGGAGGGGTGGCATGAAAACTGAACTGACAACAGAAAGACTGAACCTCAGAAAATGAATGGGAGTCAGGTCTGGCTGCAGAAAGAATGTGTTAAGCCTGAAGGGCCGCAGAGCAAGGCTGCAGAGTTCCTTCTTTACAGGGTGCTTCTAGCTGAGGCAGCCCAGAGGTGAGCGAGCACCAGATCTCTGCCTCCATGCAGCCCTAAGGACCACTGAACTGGAGGGTTCTTTTCCATCCCCAGAAAGCCTGTGAGCAAAGCTGGGGATGAGAGGGAGAGGGGGCAGGGCAATGCACTGCACTCATCCCAGGACAGGGAGCAGTGTCAGCAAAGTGACTGGGGGGAGGGGGGAATAGCGGGGGGGGGGGGGCTGCGGGGGAAGCTCTTCATTTTCACCACGGTGAACACCCTTAGGGAAGGGCCTTGCGGAGCCCAGGCCTGTGGGAATAGGGCCCTGGCTCACCGGCTGCCCTCCCACTCCCCGACCTCCTCCATCACCCAGACCAGAAGGGTCAGTCACATCCAGGAAAATCCAGTTCAGCCCACCACAACCAAGGTCCTTTGAGCCCAGACCCAGGCAATGGATTATCACCTCTGACTTCCGCCCTGTCCAGAACAGGTCCTCCTCACCAGCCCCCACCCTGCTGATCAGCCCCAGAGACTCCAGGGCCCTGCCCCCATACACACACACACACACACACACACACACACACACACACCCCGGCATTCCCAAGTGAGGTCTGCCCAACGGGAGGAGGTGGTATCACCCAATGACATCATTTTGAGGTCTCATGAGATTAAAAACAGAGAGAGGAGGGTCTGAGAGCCCAGAGAAGGATGCCATTGGCTCTGAGGCTCATCTTGGAGAAAAGAAGGGGGAGTGTGGGGGAGGTTCCTCTTCTGTTTTCTCTGCCCAATCCTTAGCACCCTCAAAACAGAGGGCCAGAGTACCCTCCCCCTTTGCCCCAGGCCCTGGTTGTTGTATAATTCCACAGGCTGTTGACATTATATAACCATACTAGGCAAGCCAAGTCTCTGCCCCAGCCCCTCCCCTCCATTTCAGGCCTAAAACTGAGAAAAAAGAGAAGACGTTTTATCTGGTCCCATCTAGTCCCATGCCCAGCCAAAACAAAAACAAAAATTAGAGCATCCTGATGCAGGGTTGCCATGGTAAATGCCTCCCCAACCCAACTACAAGGGATGTGTCCAGATGTGGGATAATGACAGGGAGTTGGGTGAGGGGTGTTTCTGTGGGGGTGCGAAAGATGAGCATAATGTGGTTGGGATTGGGATTGGACCAGAGGAGGGTGCAGGATAGGCATGGCCTCTCGGGGCTCACCCAGGTGCCCTCCACCACTCCCCCCACCACACCCCGGACACCCAGGCTGATTCCTTAAGGGAACCTAGGCACCTGTGAAGGGTCCTGAGATGCCAAAGCCCCCTGGGGTGGAAGGGAGGGGAGGTGGGCCTGTTGGGCAGGAAGAAGTCTGGACCCATTCCTTGAAATGGGCCTTTAGGTCCTCTGACTTCAACAAGGACCACAGAGGACCTTTGCACAAGCGCCAGGGGAGGATGCTTATAGTGGTCCAGAGAGTTTGCTTGGGAGGGGCCGGAGGATGGAGGATGGTGCAGGTGTGGGGGGGGGGCGGGGGGAGATGCCGATACCTTTCCTTGGGTCATGGTGCCGTGTCTCCGGGAAGGGGTCCCTGAGGCAGGGGCGGCCGCTTGGCTCACCACAGCCTGCCTGCGTCTCTTCCTTCCTCCGCGTGGGTTCTAGCAACATCCACTGCAGCCGGGCCAGGCGGACCGGAACGTACCATTACAGCGCGGGAGGAGGAGGGGGTCGGGGGCGGGCCGGCAGGCTTGCTGCGGAGGCCGCTGCGGATTTACAAGCCCAGGGGGAGGAGGCGGCCCACTGCCGCCTCCTCCGTCCCCTCCATCCGGTCCCCTCATCCCGGGACCAGGGAGCGCGCACTGCAGAGCCGCCCAAGTGGATGGGTCCGCAGGGCGGGAGGAGGCGCGGGGACTCCGTGACACCCGACCAGCTGATGCTGCCTGCCTGAAACCGGAGCTGGGTGTCAGGGCCTTATCTCTCCACCATCTCTGCTGCTGACAGGCTCTCTCCAAGCCTCAGTCTCCCCCCTCCCCGCCTCTGGATGCGGCCCCAGATTTCTGTCTCCATTTCCACCTCCCTCCTCCTCTGTTTCATCATCCATGGCAGAGTGGGGAAAGTCTCCCACGGCTTGTCTACCCTCCCTGGCTTCTAACAGGGCCCCTGGGCCCTAAGTTCCTATGGGCCTTTGGGCAAGCCATGTGGGCACCTCTCTTGCTTCCATGTTCCAGCCCGTGTAATGGGAGCAATGGGCCCCGCCCCACCTTGTCACTGAGGCCTGGTGTGGGAGGATGCTGCTGCTGGTTTTTTCAACCCTGCTGGACCATTTGACCAGACCTTTCCAGAAAGACCTCTAGTTCTGTCTCAAAGCCTCTCCAACCTCCATCCCCACCCCCAAACTGCTCCCTTTCTGCCTCCACTCTCAGCCTCGATCACCCCACCTCCATCTTCCCCCCATTCTGGAGCCCGTCCCATCCCCTTTCCCAGGCTTGTCCTCGGGAATCGGCCGTCACGAGGCCCTGTTTTCTAAAGCTGACGCAGTGCCGCTGTGGAGTTTGCAATCTCAAGAGCTGGGCTGGATTCCCAATTTAATCACCAGTCACTGGCCTTGTGACTTTGACAAGGCCTTAATGTCTCTGAGCTGCAGCATCTCCTACTGAAAGGAGGAGCTCTGTCCATCCCAGATGGACTGTAAGACACGCAGGGTATGGCAGGGGAAGCACACTGAAGACCACAGGGTGCTGTCAGTATGTGAGTTATTATGAACTGAGCAATCTCCTACTGGAGTGTCTTGGGCTGCCCCAGGGTGAGGACTCAGAGATCTGCCTAAAAGGATCTGAACCTCATAGGATTGGATGGGAAACCAAGACCAGATGCAGGGGTGGCCGCTGACCTTCTGCTTCTCTGTCACCTCCCAGCTAGACCCACTTAAAGATGGTGAGAAAGCAGGGCCTTGGGTGGGCAAGTAGATTACTGAATCTTGATTCCAACTCAGCTCACTCTTTGTGCCCCACCCCCCATAGCTACCAACTGCCCACATGCTTACTTATGCGCCTGGGCCTCCCTGTCTAGAGGGTCTCTCAGCCCTCAAAACCCCGAGCCCCCACCCCCATCCTCCTCTCTGTCCCCTCACTGGCCTCCCCGGCACTTCTCCCAACCCCTTCCTCCTGCAAACTGTTGTCATAGGTCCCCACCCCCACCCCCACACCACTGCGGCCCAAGAGCTGCCTGGTCCACCGCTTCCCTCTCTGAATCTGTTTTCTGGAGTGGTTTCCTTCTCCTGTCTGACAGCTCAAGTGCCTCCTCCTCCAGGAAGCCCCCTTGTTCCCTGGTCCAGCTTAGATGTTTCTTCTGTAGTTTCATAGTACCTGTCACATGGCACTGTGGAGTTTCTTTGTCTGTCTCTCTGGTAGAGTCTAAGAGATCCTGTCTAGCGGTTTTTATGTCAGCAGGACTGAGTACTACTCTGCTAGGCATGCGGAATGTGCTCAATAAATCCTCACCGTGACTCTTACCCAGACATATGGTGTTACACAGAGCCTAAATTTATGTGGGCCTGAATTTATTTGTGACTCTCGCTTGCTCCTTCTCTCCCCGTTTACTCCATTCCTGCCACACAGGCCTCTTGGCTGTTCTTTGACGGGCTAAGCATGCTTTTAGCTCAGGGCCTTTGCACTTGCTATGTCCTCTGCCTGGAACATCTACAGATTGCTGCATGGCTCACTCCGTCACTTACTTCATGGCTCTGCTCAGTCATTACCTTATTGGGGAGGCCTTCCTGATCCTATGTAAGTAGTAATGCTGCCAATGTCCCCCCACCCAGCTCATTGGACAGTCTCTTCTTTGACCCAGCTTTATTTTTCCTTCCTTGGCACCTCTGACACATACCTTTTGTTTAGATTTTTGCTTTCTCTTTGTCTCTCTCGCTCTCGTTCTACTAGAACGTCAGCTGTATGAAAGGAGGCACTTTGATGGGTCTGTGCCCAGGGGTTAATATACTACCTGGCATGGATGTACCAGCTGTCTATGAATGTTTGGATGAGCAAAGTACAATATACAAAGTCCCTATATTCGTCAGACATTTTGACATTGTCAGTGCTGTGATGTTTCTCAGATGTGGGACTCTATCTTGTGTCATTTATGTGTCCCCATTTCATGGTCTTTGGCCAATACCTGGAGTTGAGGATGTTTGTTTCACACGCCTCTGGCCTCGGGAGGCAGTAAGGTGTGGTGTTAAGGGCACGGACTCCAAAGTCAGGCGGCCTGGGTTCCCATCCCAGCTTCTCTACTTGAAAGCTGTATGACTCGAACAAGTCAGTGCCGCTCTCAGAGCCTCAGTTTCCTCATCTGTGAAATGGGAAATAGCGATCGTACTGACTTCCCAAGATTATAGAGGGGATTAAGTCATAATATAGAGAGAGCGCTTCACATGGTACCCAGCACCTGATAAGCTCTCAGTGTCAGCTGTTAGCATGAGCCTTAAGGGTTCCACAAATGTTGTTTAAAGATTTTATTTTTTTAATTTATTTGACAGAGAGAGGGAGCACAAGCAGGAGCAGCAGGGAGAGGGAGAGGGAGAAGCAGGCTCCCCACAGAACAGGGGGAGCCTGATGTGGGGCTCGATCCCGGGACCCTGAGATCATGACCTGAGCCCAAGGCAGACGCTTAACCAACCGAGCCACCCAGGCGCCCCACAAATGTTGTTTAATGAAATAATTAATTTCCACCCTCATAAGGCAGCTCAGTCCCACGTGTGTCGTGCCTACCTCCGTGTGACACATTGTGGTAGAAGCTTTGGTGGCTCAAGGAGGACTCTGACATGCAGCCTTTCTTCGAGGAGGAAAGGTCTATTCAGAGCTCACCCCTGTGCAGTGCTGGGGCGGGAGCAGGCGTGAGCAGGCCCACCAGAGAGGGGTACCTGAGGGGAGCCAAGGACAGGGAGGGGTTCCCCAGGGGAGCGGGGAGCTTATTGGGGTCACATCCCTGAATCCCTAGCCCAGGGAATGGGTTTTATCCTGTTAGCATGAGAAGTGGGGGTGGGGGGGAACTTTCAAGGGTTTCTGAGCAGGGGAACAGCAGGTCCGAAATCACACTTTAGAAGGACCAAACTGCCGCAGCAATTTTTGTTATTAAAGCGTTTTTTCTTCAACAAGAAGGGAAAAAGGATCAGTCTGGGAGCAACGTGGGGAGGGCCTGAAGGAGGGCAAGACTGAGGTGCAGTAAGGAGCTTGCAGACTCTGTGAGCTCTCATGACAGCCCGGAGCCCAGACTTCAGAGCAGGCTGCCCCAGCTCAAATCTGTAGAATGAAACCTGCGAGTTAGGATGGGTAAAGCACTTAGAGCAGAGCCAGGCACTTAACAAGTACTCCATGCATATATGATCATTCAAAAATCAGACAAATGATCCAGTGGCAAAAAAGCTGGAGAGAGGCAGACGGCTGGGGGCAGGATTGATGAGGCTGGATGTGGGATAAAGGGAGAAGGGGGTTCAGAAGAGATGGGGCTTGGAGGCTGAGGCCCTGGGAGAATGGTGCCATTAGTAAAAGGAAGGAAGGAGCTGATGTGTTTGGGTGGGGTGGTTGAGTTTGTGGTGCCCATGGGACATGTAGGTAGACATGTCCCGTAGGCCGTTAGCTAGAGGCTCCTGGTGCCCAGAAGAGAGGTCCAGGCAGAGCCTTACAGAGCTCAGGGGGCACCCTGCATTGTATTCTAGGGGGATGCCACGTCCCTTCCCGCCCTGGAGCCCAACTCTGGGGCCTCATCAAGTTGAGCAGTGCGGCAGCCGGGACTGGGCTGGATTTGGAGGTTTGGGACTCCTTGGTCATTAGCTGAATAGTGGCTGAATCAGAGTACGTGACGATATCCTGCACGGTGAGGGCAAGGAGAGAAGAGGGGGAGAGCAGGCCCAGAGCAGCACCTGGAGGTGATGGTGGGGAGTCGGAAGGAAGTTCTTCCCTCTCCCCAAAACCCCCTCACTGTCTCCAAAGGCCAGGCCAAGGTGAGAGGGAGACCAGCAGGCAGTGCTGTCAGGCTGTCTCTCAGGGTAGGGGAAGGGGTGGGCCCCTGCGCTTCCTCTCCCTTCCTCTCAGGCCAATGCAAGGCTGCCCCTCCCCTCCCCTCGCTCTACTCTGCTCACCAGTCAGCTCCGTTTGCTGCAAGCGCAGGGAGGGGAAGGGGTGAAGGTGTGGACAGAGGCGAGGCTTCTCGTTTTACAGCCATAGCAGCAAAGGGCCAAAGAGGGTGTGTGACTAACTCAAAGTTACAGGACGTGTTGGGGGCCAAGCCAAGATGAGAAGTGTCTGTGACCCCAGCTCTGGGACCCTCAGGCCAAGTATTTCAGTGACAACACTTATGCGGGGTGTAGGGGGGCTTTGGAGGTTCTCGGGCTCCCTAGGTGGGCAAAAGCAGAATTACCCAGGCACCTCTTCCCACATCCTCACCCATAACCAGCCCCTCCAAACCGGCAATAGCCCCTGCCCCCCAGGGATGGAGAGAGAGAACCAGAGGTGGCAGAGGCGGGCGGGCGTATGAGGCTGCTGAGGAGGAAGGGCAGAGGCAGGGGCTAGAGCCCAGGTCGCTCACAGCAGGCAGGTTTCTCAGGCTGGGCTGTAAGAGCTGGACGTCCGGGTGAGCTCAGGCTCCAGGGCACCCTCCTGGCTTTACCTGAGCCTCAGCTGTGGCTGCCCCCGCACCCACCCCCGACAAATTTCAAAGCCTGTCATTGCCCTGCAAGTCCCTGGCCC